GTGGCCCCCCAAAAGGTAAATCTTAGAAAAATTTTAGACCATCAGAGATTAAAAAAAAAAAAAAATCTAAAGCTTCCGGGAGGGGAAAAAAAAAACATCAAAAATAGGTCGCTCTCAAAGGACTGAGATAAAAATGGCATTAGATTTCTCAATAGAGATGTTGGAAACTAAAAAACTCTGGTTTGCCACTTTCAAAATTCTCAGCCACAATTTATCTTTCTTTCAACTAAAAGTGGAAAAATACAAGATCCCTCTTTGAGAAAAGACAGTTTCAGAGACGCCTCTCTGAAGAAAGGGAAGAGACTATGAAGCACGCCCTCCGCCTGCTTGCAGCTGAGGTGCTCGCCATTCGTGCAAAGACCTTTCTTACCGTCCTCCACAGGCGAGATGTCCTCCAGGCACTTCCCCTTGGGGAAGAGACTAGCACCTTCTTCCATCTTGGGAGGCAGGAATTAGCTACAAAAAATTATTAGAAAATATAGCTGAATGAGATCATAGATTTAAAAAACCTAAAATCGGATTTCATAAGAATGAACAATTTCTCTTGCAAAAAGACATTAAGAAAACAAACAGATGGGAAAAAACAATATTCGCAGCACACACACGTGACAAAGGGCTCGTGTCCAGCGATGTCGAGAGCTCCTATATGTCAACAATATGTGGCCCAAAGTCCAGTCGAAAAGGGCAAATATTTTAGGACAGACACTACAAAAGGAGAGATACAGGCAGCCGATAAACCTGTGAAACTTCGCGCGACGTCACTGATCATCAGGGAGACGCACATTAAAACCGTAACGAGTCCAGAAGTGTTTATTCCAACGCCTGAGATGGAAAACATCGACAACGCTTCAGGTTGGCAAGGATGTCGGCGACTGCCATGGTGGCGGGGGCTGGGGGGCTGTGAGCGGGCGGTTTCCTGCGGACGTACACTCGCCACGTGGCCCGGCAACCCCACCGTGCGGTGTTTACCCAAGAGAAACAGCAGTATTACCCAAGAGAAACGAAAGTGCTTGCGGGCGTATTTATGGCAGCCTGGTTCCCGATGGCCCCGAAATGGAAACAACCCGAATGTCCGTCGGGGTGAGAATGAATAAACGAGCTCGGCACATTCCTGCGACGGACTCATTCTCAGTCGTAAAAAAGAACAAGGTCCAATCCGTCCAACAACGCAGATGAAGCTCAGAAACATTGTGTTAAGTGCAGAAGGTCGGGGCCCAAATGAGTCCGGACGCAGCCCAAATACAGGCAACACCGCTGCGCAGTGGCAGAAGCCAGGACTCTGGGTTTGAGGCAG